AGGCTGCAATTGGACCTAGACAGGTTACAGGGGTGGGCAGATGAGAACAGGATGGGTTTCAACACTGACAAGTACAAGGTGCTGCACCTGGGGAAGAAGAACCAGCAGCATACCTACAGGCTGGGGAACTCCCTTCTCGTCAGTGCAGAGGCAGAAAAGGATCTTGGAGTCATTATTGATGCCAAAATGAACGTGGGCCGGCAGTGTGGGGACGCGGTCAGGAAGGCCAACCACACCTTGTCATGCATCCACAGATGCATCACAAGCCAGTCCAGGGAGGTGATCCTCCCCCTCTATGCGGCACTGGTCAGGCCGCAGTTGGAGTACTGCGTCCAGTTCTGGGCGCCGCACTTCAGGCGGGATGTGGACAACTTGGAGTGGGTCCAGAGGAGGGCCACTCACATGATCAGGGGGCAGCAGGGCAGGCCCAACGAGGAGAGGCTAAGGGGCCTGAACCTGTTCAGCCTTCACAAGAGAAGGCTGAGGGGGGATCTAGTGGCCATTTACAAACTAGTCAGAGGGGACCAGCAGGCATTGGGGGAGTCCCTGTTCCCCCGAGCACTACCAGGAGTGACTAGAAATAACGGTCACAAGCTGGCAGAAGGTAGATTCAGACTAGACATCAGGAGGCACTACTTCACAGTCAGGGCGGCTAGGATCTGGAACCAACTTCCAAGAGAAGTGATGCTGGCTCCTACCCTTGGGGTCTTTAAGAGGAGGCTAGATGAATACCTTGCTTGGGGTCATTTGACCCCAGTGCTCTTTCCTGCCATGGCAGGGGGTTGGACTTGATGATCTGCTCAGGTCCCTTCTGACCCTACCAACTATGAAACTTAATACTGCAGAGATCAGGTATGCCACGACAGAGAAAGAATGTCTAGCTCTGAGGTGGGCTGTAGACTATTTCAGGTACTATCTATTAGGCTGAGAATTTACGGTGGTCACGGACCACGTGCCATTACAATGGCTAACAGAGTCGCATATAGACAACGCGCGCATTACTCTCTGGGCATTGGCTTTACAGCCCATTAAGTTCACTGTAGTACATTGACCTGGCAAGGACAATATAGTGGCCGATTTCCTCTCCAGGTGTGTCGTGGAAGATAGAATGACCAGGGAAGCCTTAGAACCCCATCAGAGGGAACATGAAGTGAAGTTAGGCAAGAGAGTAATCTTGAAGATGCCACAAGGTGACTTAAGGGGGAGATTATGCAATGATGGGGACCATACATACCCCCTGAGCACCCCTGGATCCCCGGCCAACCCTGAATGGGCCGAACAGAGAGTCCTGGGAAAAAAGGAAAACTTATCTTCAAGGCAGGGAGAGCTGGAGCTGTGGCGATGTGTGGCACCACTGCTGTGATTTAAAAGCTCCTTGTCAATCAACCCAGGCAGCAGCCAGCCGATGACATCAGCCACAGGTGCCACCACGGGAAATTTAGAAGGGCAAGGCCGGAGGTGCTGCAAGTGTCTTCAACGCCTCAACACCAACAGTTGTTGGGTGGCCAGGGTGTACAGGAGGCAGAGCCCCAACCAGACTGTGAGTACCCCTAGCAGGGGCCTCCGTACAAACACCACTGAACCCCTCCTTGGAATACTATTAACACCAAGACGTGGCAGGTGAGTTGAGGGGAGAAGAGCTTGCTTTGGGGACTCTCCAGGTCGCTCGCCGATTTGGCAGTGGTGTGACACTTAGGTATAATGTTTTTTATGACTTTATCATTTATTATTTAACTAAAATTGAATTGAATTGAATTTTGTGTCATTTCCTCTCTTGTATTTTTTAAGTAAATTATAAAAAATCTTCTGAGATCACAACTTTATTTCTGAAATGGGAGGGATGGGTGAGTGGGAAGGAAAATATGTTCACCCAGGGCACCATTTTCCCTAAGGCTGACTCTGGTTCTACATGCTTAGCTGTTTCCTGGGGCAGTAACAAGAGCTTTTGCCAAACCTTTGTGAAGTGATTCAAGCAACTAGGATTCTGTCATTCCTTTTGGGAGGGGGGATTCTAGTACATCCCACTACCACAAGTGCACATCTCTTCAACAGCTAACTCACATGTTCTGCACAATTTCATTTTGTTACTCCTCAGACGAGCTTTAGGTAAAGCACTCTTGCCACCATTTTGAAGCATGCAGATGCTGCATACACGACACGCTGAGGTGGCTGAAGCATGCTAATTAGCACACTCCAGCAGACTCAATTAATCAAGTCTGCTCCAACACACTGTAATTACTAAATGCTAAATAGCTATAGCTGTTAACAGGAAGGAAACACAATTATTTAGCTCACTTTTATTGCCAGAGGAGCATGCAGACATAACAACTGTGTCCTAAAAAGCTTATACTGGTATTAGTCAATACAGATATAACTGTTAGATCCATCTATGCCCACTGCTCCCCGTGTCTCAGTCCCAAGTCCCTTCAGCATCACTGACTCACAGGTTCCTCCATATGCTTCACAATATTTTGTCCAGTTTATGACTTTGCAGTTTACTAGGGTGGAATTTTGTTGTGTTAATTTCTGCTAAGTTTTGCAATCCCTGGTAGAGACCTTCCAGTTTCCCTGTCTGCCATTTTTTTAGCACTTCAAGGTAATATCTGCAAATTTAATTAAAAAGTGTTTACTTTTCCTCACCTTCCAGGTCAAGTGTTAGACAGTCCAGGGCCTGTTTTATGCAGTGACTGCTATGGCAACCTGCAGCCTATTTTCAAGGTTCAAATCAGTGCTTATATATACACAACTGAACTGCAGGGCTCACCAGACAATACTGGGGAGCCACCTATATTGAATACCTTCTTTTCAGCTAATAAAGATGAGGCATTCTCAGAGAATAACTTTCCAGAAATGGAGTTACTGGGTGAAACTGCTAGGGTAAGAAACTAGTGAAAGTAGACAACACTTACACAACAGATCAAGGAATTCAGGAATTAGATTAAGTAAAAACATGCTTTTTCCCATTACAATCCACTACTATACTGGAGGGCAGCAACTAATGTATTTTGACTTCAGTACTTAACAGTAGGACTTGTAGGGCAGCCCCATGAAGACTGCAAAGTCCCAGGTGTAGATTAGGGCCTAATGAACACAAACTGGAAGTTAATGATCCTTTCTGGATATGTTCAAAACATAATTCAAGCTACAGCATCAGTATAAAGTCCTGTCATCACTTATGAATATGTAAAACATCTTTCCAGGCTCTTTAAAAACATGCAGAGAATCAAAGTAGGTACAAGTTTTAAGACATGTTGCAGAAGGGGCCTTGCTGTCTCCAAAACTTACATATTACTTTTGAAATTTGCTTTTTTTTCATCCAATAAAACATCCTCTTAAGCCAGGTATTATAAATGGATGGATCAAAATTTCTGCCTTCAAGTTACCCACACAGAAGCTCTGATGTGCACAGCCATGATAGGAACAACACATACATAGTCCTTCGCCAATTTACATCTAGAGCACATGCACATTCACAAGAAAAGCACTGGGTTCAGGATGGCTGACTGGCAGAGCGCAAAGCATGCTTGCATATTTGTAGACACTTTAAAATCTGTCACATGGCTGACTTCCTATAGTCTCTGCCAAACCAACTGTGCAGTGCTTACTGAGCTGTGTGCAGAGTGTCTGCAAACTGTCTGTTACTTTCTTGGATGCAATAATGGTCATTAATTAATTAAATGCCGTGCTTGCGACACCCAGAATCAGCTGGAGAGAGACTCACCTGAGTTTTTCTTATCCTTAGGTCAGCAGATGATCTATTCAGTCCTTCTTCTTGTTCAATGCTCTGTTCAATACCTGGTGGTGGGTAGAAAGATATTGTTTACTTCATACTGTTTAGAAGGAAAAAAAGCAGCTGCTCTGCAAAACCACTGCACAAACTGGAACTCAGGAGAAACATCTGGATCCCACTGTACTCCCTATTTCCTGACACTGGCCTGAATTTTACCCTAGGCTACAAACAGTTTTCCTGAGTGCAAAGAACTTACTCCAGCTGTCTCTTCTTCTATTTTCAAACAGCAGGCTTGCTTATTTAAACATCTGAAGAATCTCTCTCTCCCCCCTGAGAAAGAACAGGGAAGTAAAACGGAGTGCAAGAGTTCTGTGCCCAGCACAGAAGTGTTTCTTCTAATAGAACTGTAAGCTGCACTGGTGTAAATCACCAGCTCTGAACTACGTGAAAAAAATACTTTAGCTCACTATACAACTGAAATGGCTCTTTCCTATTTCTACCCACAGTTCCTCTCTCAAATAAAAAAAACGGCTTTCCTGAAGCTGGATTGAGAACAGTTCTCTCCCAGGTGACTGTGTCTGAACAGCCAAGGTGTAAGAAGTCTGACTCTGCCAAGAGTCCAGGAGCACCATAATCACCACCCTGTTGGATACTATTTATTCATTCATATATATATATATATATATATATAGGCATAGCTCCTTGTAGACCTAGGCACAGACCACAGTCCAATCTTCCTTATGATGGCACCAGCCATTCAAAGCCTGGGAACGGACTCCACAAATATGGATTTTACTCCAGAACTGATTTGCCAACTACCAAAGTTCAGAGCTCTTACATGGACTTTTAAAATGTACAGCCTCCCAGCTGTGGAGTCTCCACTACCAACCCACATATTGGGAAGTGACTGATTAGCAATGAAGGGCAGATTTTGAGGTTGTGCTATGAATTTCTGGTGAATGACTTGCTGCAAAGTGGATATTTGCCTTTTTAATTATGCCTAGTACTGCAGCCAAGTAAGATTAATTCCTCACTTGTCCAAAAGCACATTAATTACTGTAGAAAGAGAAGCAGCTGTATCAGGTACCATCAAGCCACAGAAAGAAAGGGCAGCTCTGAAAGGGCCCTGACTGCCACATGGAGGCAAAGGATAAGAAATATGGCTGCATGTCAAAGAAATGGGGGATATGCTCTTCACCACCAGCTCAAAAGCATACTACTTAAAAATGCTACTGTGCTAGCAAAGTCAGGCTGCCTTTTTTTGGGAGCCAAAGAAATCCTGTAGGACACTGCTTATCTGGTTTCTACCTTCTTATCATAGAAGAACATCTGATTCTACAAACCTTTCTGGTCACTCCTAAAACACTACATGGGCATCAAGGTTCTGCTCAGTGGGACCAAGTTTATCTGGATCTGGCCCTAGAGAAGGTTACATGCCAGGGTAAAGAAATCTTCAGTTGGAAAACAGAACTATAATAATACATGCTTGTATCCCTAGAGTTCAGCACCTTGGGTGCCTTTACATGTGCACTGAGGCGGCTCCAATCTACTGTAATTAACGGAGCAGACTCAGTTAATTGAGTCTGATGGAGTGTGGTAATTACTGCGCTCCAGCTTCACATGTATCAGCATTCCCATGCTGAAAAATGGCAGTGAGGGCACTTTAACTAAAGCTTGTTTTGAAGATCTTTAGTTAAAGTGCCCCCACCGCCACTTTTCAGTGTGGAGACATTGATACATGTGACGCTCTGAGAGCCGTTCCTCCTCACCTCTCCCCCCCAACCTCCTGGAGTATGTGTATAAATGCCCCTTGAGTCTGTGGCCCATTTTTCAGAGGTGGATCCACTGTAGTTAGAACAAGTTGATTTAGAACTCAACATTTCTGGATTTAGACATGAGGTACGTGCTAGTAGTGTAAAGTGGGGTTCTGTAAGACATGCTGCCCCATGTTTTTTCACTATGAATGCACAGTTGCTCCCTAGACCCAAAACCAGAGATTTTCTTGCTAAAAGTACCTGCATGGCTCAGGCATACATCCCATCTATCCTCAGGCACTGCACAGAAGGTGTAAAGCATGGCAAGGGACCAGACCAGCCAGCATTCTGCTTCCTTTTTCTTTGGCAGAATGCCTAAGCATACTTATTTAGGAATCCAAAGCAGAGGGGAAGGAGGTCAAGCCATGGAATAGAGGGAGACAATACAGCTCAAAGAATTTCAGTTACTATGGGTAAAAGGCTCTTTTGTCATCTTTCAGTGCTTGTCCCTGTTCATATTCCACCTAGAGATTCTGTACAGAATGCTAAGGAGGAGGTTGCTCATAACCTGGCTGTCGAGCAGTTCAAAGCATTGCTTTGCAAAAGAGGCAGCCAAAGCAGATAGATTCTGGTACCAGTGCATGTTTAATAAAACCATGTCAGACCCATGCAGATGCCTTCTACATCAGTGATGGGACATTAAGGGAAACAAAGGAAGCTGTATGAACACAGACAGAATATGCCCCAACATGTATCCTGTCAGTATTTTGGTAAAGTTGTATCTTATTCTGTCAGGAAAGGGCCAGCGGGCCACTCTGGGAGTCTCTGAATGGATATTGCATCATTTCACAGGGTGCCTATACATGAGCAGGCTCAATTAATCATGCTCCAGCAAACTCCAGCATCTTGTGTATCAGTATTCCTATGCTTAAAAATGGTGGTGAGGGCGCTTTAACTAAAGTTTATCAAACGAGCGCTCGCCTCCCCGCTCTGTCCCCACCGTTATGGTGCTGCTCTGCTGTGCCGCCGCCACCACCTCCTGTCCGTAATGCTCTTGGAGCACTCCGATTGGTTGTTTCAGTAACCAATCAGTGCTCCAAGAGTGTTATGGACAGACAGACAGATGAAGCCCTTTATTATATTAGGATAATTTTAACACTTTGCAGCTGTACAAGGTCTGAGAAAGAACATGGGCAACTGCAGTACTTGATTAATAGGAAACTCAAACTATTCTAAGAAGTCATTTCCTAGCGCTGTTCAAGGGAAAACTTTTTTTTTTATCATGACAGATCTGATATAAGACCACCCAACTCCTCCAGCCTCCTAACTGATACTAAGGCTATGGCCAAGGCTACCTTTGTGGGGAGGTAAAGTAATACAGCTTGAACAGAGTTTTTGCTGGAGATTGGGCGTACCAGGCTGAATTCCCACAATAGTGCTGGTTTCAATGCTGCTGGGGAAAACCTCCCAAGTCCCACTTGTAGTCCCACCAACGGGGGCAAGAGGTTATTCATTATTTACTGGTGTCCTTCACCTTTCAACAGATACCAAGAACACGCAGACAATTCAAAGAGAAACATACATTTCAATGATAAGAGATACCTGGTATGTTTGGTCATGGTGACTGCAGAAGATGTATAACAAATCTCAGTCTCACCATGTCCAAGTTCTTCTCTATTTGGATATGGATACTTTCCTTGTAGATTCTTTTGTGTTACCAGATAGCATAGACTGAACAGGATTTTACAAAGTCCATTCAAACACCATGCTGCTGAGTGCAATAGAGGATGACTGGAATATTGAACTGTATTTTTGTCTTGAGGCAGGAGATATGACTGAGGAACAGGTGGAGTGGTGCACTGACAGCTGACCATAGTTGTGGGAATCAGAACCATTTTGGACACAATGGAATCTGTTAAATAACTGTTATTATATTATGCTTGATTTCACCTCAAGATTCTCTGCAGTAATGAAACAGGCAGAAATGCACATATTAATTGTCCTGCTCACTGAATCGGAAAAGCATTTCCCTGAGAACCTTGGCTCCAAGCATTCCTAGAGCTACAACTCGGACATATATTTTCATGCATATTGCTAACTGGTCAAGAGATATTTGATTCTACCATTATCAAGCCATGGAGCTCCTCATTTATGACCCCTGTAGAAATGTCTTCTGAGAATTTTGGCAAGCGGGTTTTGAAGCTTGATATACTGATGTGATTGCTTATACATTAATTCCAGAGAATGATTGTTTCTATGCATAACTAGTGAAACTTAACTTCCTCGTTTGAGCCCTGATGATGGGCAGACAGAGGAGCTGCTTGAGATGTACTTTATTTTCTCTTGATTGCAGACTCATTGAGCCTGTGGAATTCCAGAACTCCCTGGGGATATTCCCACTGACTGTGACAGCTATTCTGTTGATGGCCTGGTCAAACTGTGGAATAATAAGTATGCTGACCTTGGCTGTAGATATGGCAGCACACAGGCATACATACAGACCCATCACTGCAGTGGCACAGATCTCCCTGGTATGCAGGCCAGCTGGGATGACTGAAGCAGATGAGCAGGCAGTTAAAGCGCAACTCAACTAATACCAAAGCCAATTAATTGTGGCATAGTTGCTTTTTAAAGGACTGTACTATGGCAGTGCCTGCAGCAGAGAGACTCTTTCATCTCTACTACAGTTGTGTCTGCAAAGTGTTACCTAGCAGAACTGTTCTGGGTGTGAATGCTGTGGTAAATCTGGAAATTGAGTTATTCACAGTCCACGGTGATGAGTTTGCTACCTCCTTTACACATAAAAATTCTTTGAATCTAGTATAGCTTAGGAACCACCAATTTACCTGCAGACACTGAATTTGGGATTGAGGAAGCTTGGTCTTGCCTGGTATATATAAATCCGTTTCAACTGTTTCAGTATTTCAATAGCTTTTGATAAAGTTAATCATTAGGTGTTCATAATGCATTTACATGACCTGGTGTGTATTTGGAGCACTACTCTTAATTGGTTCCCCTCTTTCCTAGTGGCAAGGTCCCCAAGAGTGATGAGAGAGTACTTGCCACCCCTCAGGACCTTTTCTATAGGGTAACTTAGAATCACAGAATCACAAAAGATTAGGGTTGGAAGGGAACTTGGGAGGTCATCCAGTCCAACCCCCTGCTCAAAGCAGGGCCATCCCCAACCAGATCATTCTAGCCACGGCTTTGTCAAGCCAGGTATTAAAATCCTCCAAAGATGGAGATCCCACAACCTCTCTGGGTAACCTGTTCCAGTGCTTTATATCCCTCCTGGACAGAAAGTTCTTCCT